TTAATAATAATATTAATTAGACATTTTGTTAAAAACAAAAACAATTCAATTTTGAGTTACAATAAATAATATAAATTTATTTAATTTTTTTTATTTTTAATTATTATTATTCATAAAATATTCTATTCAATGAATTAAATGTTTAATCATTATTCAATGACAGATGGATAGGCATTGGAAACAAATTCAAAATTCTTAAAAATAAATAAATCTATCGCATTCCTATAAAAATACGCACTCGGAACAAAACGGACACTCAGAAACAACTTTTAAATTTTTTCATTTTATAAAACAAATATTATATTAAAATTAAATATTTAATAAATATTATTTGATAATCAGTTAGTCATACGAGCTGAGTAAATGAACTCAATCATTGCAAACGAATGCAAATTAAAAACAAAATTTGTCACTTAACTTTAATATCCGTACACTAGTAGGAATACAAATACAGAATAGTGCATTTACTCATACAGTTATACAACATCATAGACACGTTTTGGTTTCATTTGTACTGTCTAATTACACAGACACTATATAAAGACAATCATACGAGAAGACAAACGATCGATAGAGATTCACGTTTAAAATCAAAATAAATTTTACATTGCGAGGGTCTTGATTTTTTGAAGTTCTTTTGTCGACCAGTGAGCCAGATTTCTTGCAAAGACATCCGCAGACTGACGACCTTTGTATAAAAGTTCGTGCACATGTCCGTTGTCTAGCACTGGGCATGCTTTTTGACCAAAAGCAGTACACAAGTCTCCAACAAGACCACAGCAGCTCTTTAATATACCTGGATGTGCGTTGGGATCGGAGCAGATAGATATCATATATTGGACCATGAATGGTAAGTGGGCTTCTAATAAATAAACATCTTGATTTGATGTGTATCCTTCGCCTTTTAAGCCTTGAACAATGCCAACATAAGCGGCCAATACTCCTTCACGAAGTTCGTTTAAGTAATTCACGATTTCTGCATCATTAGGATCCATTTGAAGTTGAGCTACTTGAACCAATGCATTCAATACGTGTTCCAAGTACTTCTTGAACTCTGATCCGATTCCAAGTGCTATATCTCCAAATGTGGATAAGATTTGTGGTTTCAAGTTCCGATTAACAGTATTGTTTTGTAAAGTTTCAAAGAGTAAAGCGAATATTTGATCGCAATGTGGAGCCAAATCTTCGTGAAGGGCTCGTGACAAATCACCTACTAAACCAATGGCTGCTAAACACACTTGGAATTCCATATTTGTTTGCAAACCAATAAATAGATACGTTTTGAAATATTCCATATATTTGTTAAATCCTTTTCCAAGATTTTCTACTAGTGGACTTATAGTCATTAATGCGTCTTCTTGTAAACCACTGTCTTTACTCGTACCCAACATAAATAAAAGAGCATTCATTACCATATCGGCGATGTGTTCTACATCCTTACCACTCATTTTTCTTATGACACTTTGTAATGTTGCACACAATAGTCCTTGCATGTCTATACAATCTTCATTCATCGTTTGCAAATTGATTATTTGATTCAGTCGAGTGAGTATGATTATTGTTGTAGTTTTAACAGTTTCATAACAATCGGCTGGCGAATACTTGATCATATCCATAAGAGCTTCATATGCAGCAGACCTTAAGTTTGATCTCATACCATCAAATCTTTCTGTGGTTTCGAGCAGACCTTGAACGATATAATCAAAATATTGAGTCAAAACATTCATATTTTCTCCAATAGCTTGGGCGAGGCTGCTAAAAGCCCAGCAAATATTTGTGGCTACACGAGCTTCAGATTTAAGACCTTTTACGAAAACTCCTAGTACATCGATCAGATAAGGTGAAGTAATAATTAAATGTGGTATAAATTCAAATATACGACCAAATGTCCACGCCGTTGTATCCTGAACAGCAATGCTAGCGTCGTGCATCATATGTATAAGAACTGGAATATTGGGTTCTAATAGACTTTTTAATGCAGTTTGATCTAGTCCACCAAGTATCGACCCTAGTGTCATTATTGAAGCATCTCTGTAACGCCAATCCGGATTGATAATATTTTCGTTTATAAATGGAATTACATGCGGAACTATATTTCTCTGACAACAAGTGGATAGTAATATTATACAAACACCTGCTGATTTACATGAATTCCAATCATCTTCATCACCTTCTTCCTGTTTAGCAAGTTTTTCCATTAGAACAGGTATTATGAATTTCAATGCACCTTCAGCGTACAACATTAGTTTTTTATTGGGCTGTTCTTGACATTGACGTTCGTATATAATTTCTGCCTCTTCTTCAGCAACACTAGACCAAAATTCAATACCCTGGAGCGCTTCTTCTTCTAATTCAGATTTAATTGCATTTAGAGTAATTGGAAATAGTGTTGTCATATACATTTCCATATTTTCATAATATAAAGAGACGATTTTAACAAGACATTGAAGCGAGGCGACCCTAATTGGAATATCAGTAGACTGTGTAGCTTTACAAACGACTTCCATGATGTAATCTCGTTCATTATTCTTTTCAAAATTTCCTTTGGCAAATTCCAGAGAATTATAAAGAGCAGTAGTAGCAGCTAAACAAACATGACTATTTGGTTGTGTCATTCCATGTACAATGGCTGTAAGCACTAGATTGGATTCGGTTTTTAAAACATCGCAATTGGTCTCTGCACATATATATCCAATAGTTTCTAAAGAAGCTTCTCTGAGAGCATCAGTAGAATTTGGGTTAGTAGCATTAGTAGTTAATAAAGTAATAAGACCAGGCCATAGATTTAATGGTAATTCAATGATAGCAACAGTAGCAATACACTGCGCAGCGGAACTAGGCCGACTTTCTGTACCGAGCGCTTTAAGTATATTTTCTTTAATAAATATACGGTCTTGTTCGGTGAAAAACAACCATTGCCGTTTCATTTGAATTTTAATGGCTTCATCTTTTGATGTAATATGATTTTTGATTTGAAGGCCAGCAGCGATGCGAGCGACTGGGTTGTTAACCGAATACAATAGAACATTAGATAAAGTTTTAAGAAAACCTGGTAGGTTTGTTTGCGCTGCGTGTTCCAAGTAATTCTGAACTTGATTTAATTCTTCTCTGTCGTTGGAAATAGTGCGCTCCAAAAGATTAGTAATTTGAATAACTTCTTCGTTGATCATGTTGACGGACGTACTTGACATAAACGCGTGTGAAATGTTGAAAATGCTAATATAATTTCTTACCTATCAACTCGTAAATTAATAATAGCGTTTCAAAACTGAAACAAACAATTTACTACATAAATGACTGTGCATTAATTTAGTGTTCTCAAAAAAAAAAAAAGAATAGATAACAATCACAAAAACTAGCAAGCTAGATAAGCCACTTCTCTTGTTTGATAAATGTTATCACTTAAACCGTAAATGGCACATAGTAAGGTTAACTTTTTCTTCCATAAATCAATCTCATAAAATTTTATAATTTAATTTAATATACATTGATTGACTTTATGATAATATTTTAATTTAAAATACTGAATAAATATCTCCATTTTAATAAACTGTATACCGAAGGTACAAAACAAACCACTATATTGTTTACGGAAATATTTAAGTATAAGTAAAAAAAAATCAAGGAAATTGTTTCAAATAAAAATGAATAAAATATTTGTTGAAAATTATATGAATTCATAATATTTGAATATAAGTTATATTGATATTGTATTTTAAAAAGATTGAAAGGTGGAAATTTCTGTATATTATTTAATTAAATGTTTTTATTTTATTGAGATCTCGATATAATGATTTTATTTTAAAATTAATTCTGTATGCACAACTACGTTTTACATCGTATGTTCATAAATATTATATATTATAATACAGAATATAAATGAGAACAAAAAACGTTTGCACATAAGTTACTTTATATGTAGGAAAAAACCCACATAAAGAAAATAAAACTAACCAAAAAATAAAAAAATGCAAAACAGACTAAACCAATATTATAAATCTATATTTCCATCAAACCAAATCAATGATCATAATGAAATAAGGCTTAACTTCCAATCACAGTTATTAATCAACAAGAAAAAGTTATTGATGAAAATAAAGCATTTAATAAAAATATATAATAGATACTAAAATAAATATGGTTAAAATGTATCATTCCCCAAAAATTCTAAACCATAAAGATTCACTTTTATAAATTAAAACTTTAATATTGAAGATTGGCATGTAAAAAAGCAAAGGTTAATAATAATTAAAAATAAAAAAAATTAAATAAATTTATATTATTTATTGTAACTCAAAATTGAATTGTTTTTGTTTTTAACAAAATGTCTAATTAATATTATTATTAAAGTGGCTTAATCATNTGGAACAATCACTTTTATTTTAATAAGTAATAATATGAATCATAATACATATTATTCAGCTTTCATTTTTGTAAATTATTACTTAACACATTTAAATTAAAGATTCACATGTAAATAAGTAAAGGTGGACAAGGTTATGAAAATAATTAACTGTGTTAATTCAATTAAATTACCTTTAATTCAAGTTAAAAGTTAACAAAAAAAAAAAATTAACTAGATAAGTTAAAAGTTAAAATAGATAATAAAATTAATTTAACTCAGTTAAAAAAAAGATAAATTTTCTTTTTAAGTCACAATATTCATAAGTCATAAATTGCCCTAGTATTTTGATTTATACAAACATTTAAAAAAAGGTTTAAAACTATGCGAACATAAAATATTAAATTGTTATTATGGCATATTGATACCAGAAACTTATAACTTATAGGTTACATGTATACGTAATTTATTATTTAAGATTAATCATTTCAGCTTAACCACAAAATAAATAAAATAAATATTATACAAAACTATTCACATGTTAATTGTTGTTATCAAATGGTAATGGTTACTTTAGCAAAATAATGTTTAACACTTAATAGGATATTTTCTAAGCGATAGGTAATGCAAGCTGAAACAATACACAATTCGCATTCAAATAAAAAAAAATTTGAACATTTTTGATATAACCAATAAAATATTGACTGTCAATGAAAAAGTAAGATTAAACAATTTAAGTTAAAAAAGACGTCCTAGGGACGGGTGTAGCCACTGTTATAGACAATTTAATGTATACCTGTAAGCAACGATAAACCATTTCTTACGAAAAACGATTCTGAGCGGAATTCAGTTAATAGTGATGCTTTTCCAACAATACATATATGTCATTTTATAACAAAATAATTAAATAGGCTTTATGTATTTTCTTTAATAATATCTGTTTAATGTTGTAACTATTTTCCCAGTTTTCCAACGTTTTTCCCGGTTTTTCACATTTGGTGGGGAAAATCCTGAGAAAATCGAAAAACTACATATCTAAAGTACCTCCCTAAAGAAGTTTCCTTTTAGAAACATTGCTAACATTAAAAGTTGAATTGAAATTGCTGGTAGAAAAGTTGTTCACAGGGAAAAAAAAGCCATAATATTTTTAGCTACGAGCTTTCACATTTGTTGAGAAAACTCTGGAGGAAATCGAAAAATAACCTCTCTAAATGACCTCGCTATTAAAATTTAATTTCACAAACATTGCTATCATTAAAAATATAATTTTTGTCTTTCAGTATTAAAAAATGTCTACAATATAATAAATAGATTAAAACAGAATCATTATTATCTAGACTAATTTGGATGCAATATTTTAATATGCCTTTGCATATGTGCTTTGGAAACAAATAATTTGAAGCATATATCACAGTTATGACCTTGGCCATTATGCCTTTTAAAGTGCATATCACGGTATATTTTTGTGCTAAATTTTTTATTGCACAAATTACATTCAAATTTTTCAGGTGGTAGTGCATGTTGTGGGTATCCTGGATGCATATTTTTTGTATGTGTATCACAATGATTTTTACACTTAAATGTCCGTCCACAATGTTCACACATGTATGGTCGTTCATCAGTGTGACATAATTGATGTTTATTCAGTAATGAATTTGTAGAAAAAGTTTTTCCACAAATCTGACACATATAATGTTTGCCCTTATGTTGGCTACTAAAAATTTAAACAAAATCAATTAATCATATTATTTTGTGCACAAGTTGAATAATTCAATTTTTTTTTTTTTATTATTATTTTTAAATAATCATACTTAGTGTGTAGTGTCAAATATTCTTTAAATAAAAATGCCTTATCACAGACAGGACATTTGAATAATTTTTCCAATGAATCAGATTTATGAACTGTCATCATGTGCCGACTAAGGTGGTGTTTGTAATTGAAACATTTGGAACATTCAATACATCTTATAAAAAAAAAAAAAAAAAATGTTTATGTATTTGCCACTTTATAAATTATCAAGATTTAAAATAAATCAACGTACATTAATTTTATAAGCTGGAAATAATATTCTATTTTTATGTTCATGGTTTACAATTTATGAAAACAAAACACTATTTTATAGTTTATCAAATATAATATGAACAATTCCGTGACAAAATTGTATAATTTTATTAATAAATAATGAGTAACTTCAGCAATTATTAGTTATTACCGAAGCAAGGACGCATTGTTAACCATAACACTAAATTAATGTAAATAAAGTTTATATTACATTATCTAGCTCGCCCATGGCAACCAAATTAATTAATATTAATAACTGTACCTCGGTACTTTTGTATACAGTGTTACTGGACTATTAGACATGTTTAGATGTAAGCATAATGTAAAAATGTCAAATAGTCCTGTTAAACCCTATGTAGTACTGTGTATATGTGTATATTTTTGTTTTAATTTCTATTCATCATAAAGTCGATACTTTAAGACACAATGATAAAATTAAAATGCATAAAATAAAAATGATTGATGTTAGTATAGTTCTTATTAACAGTATTAAGTTATTACTTATGTGGTTTAATATTTGTATGTTTTCTTTGGTGATCATCCATAGTGTATTTGCGGTTAAATTCAGCATGACATAAATTGCATTGATAAGGTGCAGCATTATTATGTTTTTTCTTCATATGTTTTCCAATTCTTGAATAACTTACAATCATCAAACATAAACGGCATATTGTATAACTTACTCGTTTTTTAGATACAGCTGTAATTTGCTGTTGATTTGTATTAGTTTTTTTATCATCCTCTAATAACACACTACAAAAAAATGCAAATTATTATTTATTATATTAATACAAGTTGGGCATCTTACTAAAAACGTATTAAATTTATCTACAAAATTACTTGAAGTATAATATTAAAATAATATAAGCATTTACTTGTTTAATTCTATATCTTCATCAACAAGTGAATCTAATGGTAATGATGCACTTTTTACGTCATTTGTAGCAATCCTAACTTGATATTTATCATCAACATCTTGTTCAAAATAAACTTCATCACAATCATCTGGAATATTTTCTAAATCTGTAAACAACTGATCAAATTTTTCAGATTTAATATGCCTAATAGAACTAAGCTTTATCTGATTGGTTACTATTTCAGTGGTTGGGTTTTTAGAACCATTTAAGTCAATATGTTTAACTAGATGGTTTTTCAATCCATTAGAATAAGGAAAACTAGCATCACAATATGGACATAAATATTTTTTATTTTCATTATGATGTGTTTTAGTGTGAGTTTCCAATTCATCTTTATAAAGAAAACCTTGACAACACTGTTCACAATTATAAACGTAATTAATTGCATTATGTGCAACCAACTCGTGAGCACAGTCATCTTTAAAAACAATTTTTTGCATTTTAGGATTAATTGTAGTTTTTGTTGTGGGTTTAGTTTGTTTATTGATTTCGTTGTTATCGTTATTTATCATTTTTTCACTTTCAATTGTTGTACATTTTATTAGATTAGTGTCCAATGAGTTTTCACTTGGGTTTTTTCTGTAAAATATAATTATTGTTTACTAATAAAATTCACCTTTAATGACAAATAATTTAACATTACCTTATTTGTGTTTCTGATTTAATTTTTTTTTCATCAAATTTATTATGAATTATTTGGTGATCCAATAAATCTTTGTATTCTGTATAGATTTTATCACATTCTGTACACATAAACAACTTTTCTTCGTTCTGTATACCCTTGAATAAACTAGATGATAACTTTATTGTGCATACTCCATTTTCATAATTATTAGCTAATTTATTTTTCGGTGCTTTAATATTATGTCTAAAAACATGTTTGATATTCATTGTATTTGGTTTAATAAGTTTGACAACAGGTTTCTCTGGTAGTATATTTGGTACTATAGATTTTGTTTTCTTGGGTGGTTTTTTTAGTTTTCTAAAATTAAACAAAGTACAACAGTATTAAATTCCATTATTAATAAACATCATTCAAAGCTAATCATAATAGCTAATTAAAATACTAATCCTACACATTATAGCTTTATTTGCTACCTTTTAGATTATTTAATAACTTAAAACATCAGTACTTTTATTATTAAGAAATAAATACCTAACAATTAGTATTTGAATTTGTTTACAATTTTTATATATTTAATTTTTGTTTTTACAAAAAATTAAAAACTTTAAAACTAAAACTTAATACCGATTAAAGAGGGACTTACATTTAAATATAAGTTATAGGTTCTGGAAATTTTTATTTTAAATGCTTGTGTTAATTTGTTTAGTTTTAAATAAATTTAAATGTTTAATAACTTATAAAAAATAAAAATTATAACCTTATATAAATACTGATTCTAATAAATATTTTGGAAAATGCCTAAATTACACATTAGTTTATCGGAATTATAATTTTATAATCCATTTAGTAGTTAGAATTTTCTATGCTACATAAAATGTTGTATTTATTTTTCTATAATTAAATAGGATGTACATAATTGCATGGAAAAAGTTCCTGACTAGTAAAACTATTAATGGATGATCCAACTCAACTTGTGAGAGATAAGTATAAATTATTATTTTTCATTTAATTTAAAGACAAATAATGAATATTCATATTTTAAAACTAATTGTGAAAACATTTGATACTATTTTATCCTAAAAAATGTTTAATATTTATTAAACATTAGTTAACAAAAATGTATTAACATTTCAATTGTTGGCATAATTCTACTTTAGTATACAACCAATTTTAAAGTGTATTGTTTTTAATTGTCTTTGTGTGTACATGAAAAATATAAAAAAAAAAAAAAAATGGTTAAAATTCTTACACATAAATATTTAATCACAAAAACCTTGAATTTATATATATATATATATATATATATATATATATGTATATTTTTGTAAATCATTATCAGTACATTATTAAAATTTTAAGGGAAGGGAGGGCAATATTTTATATATATATACGATTATACATGCATATTAAAATGTAAATATGGATACCCATATCTTCAGTTGATTATTTCAAAACAAAAACTTTATAATATACATACAATTATATTATTCATTTTCATCGTAGACAATAATTCTTTTATTATACTACATGTTATGTTCACTATACTTTATTCACTGCACTATATTACTGTATTATCATTATTTATTATTCTTAAACAGGCCTTCGGATGAATTATAAAATAAATAAATAAATAATTAATATATGGTGTATTCACTATGTCTGTGTTGTGATATAATATACTGTTAGAAAAAAAATATTTATCTGTAAAGTTCAACAAAATGTCTAGGTGGAAGCATGGCAATCCCTCCCCCCCCAAAAAAAAATCGTCTGTGTGACTAGTGAACGATCCATGATATTTATAATCAATAATACTAAATATGCACCATATTATTATGCAATTAGATACAAGATACGTGTAATTTAAATAAATCTAAATATTATTTACTTTGAAAAAATTTACCTATCTGACGTCATAATATACAAATAATATTTTAAATGCTAATAATAATTGCTGTATTAAGTACTTACATAATTAATAATTTTGGATTTAAAGAATTATTTTTAGAGGGAGAAAGGAACAAATTTGATTGAGTTTGTGCAGTGTTAATCATTTTCATATCATTTGTTATTTTTGGTTGTATAGGTTTCATAGTTGATTTATTTCCTGTATTAACTTTTTGAACAGAAGAGTTATTTGGTGATCTGAAAATAATAAAAATATTGAAAAAATATTAATAAAAACTTACTTATTTATCTTACATATTCATTTTTAATGGTATTGGATAATGTAAAGGATCTGTAATGAAAAATACATTTGGGTTTGGTATTTTCAGTGCACTTAGAGTTTTTAAAAGAATAGTTTTATTTTGAGTTGCATAGACTGTCTTTTGTTGAGAATCTGTTGGCGGAGGATCCGATAAAACATAATATGCATTATTGTTGGTTCTAAAAAATATGATAAAACTAAAATTAGATATAGTTTGTAATTATTTAATTTAAACAAATTAATAACAATTAGGTACTATATATGGTACAATTTTATAAACATAACTACTATAAGATTTCATTGAAACTTGCCCAACAGGGGAAATATTGGTTTGTACAATTTTAATGTCTTCTTTGCCATCAGGCTTAGTTTTTAAATAGGTATGATCATGTTCAAATGCTATGTACCGAATGTCAACTTCTGTCATTATTACTGATGAAAGTATACTTTTTTATCTAAGGTAATAAACATAGGTATAACACAATTAAAATACATTAATTAATTAATTATACTACTATACCTTTTGTATTTTAAATAATTATTCTTCATATTCATTAAGGTATATATGTAATTGTCTAAAACAAAATAAATTGTGCACATTAATCACAACAAATACACAGTATATAATTTATTAAAATTTAAAAAAATAAACTTTTTCAAAAATGAGTATAATAACTAATAATATTATATTATATGCATACCAATGACCATAATAGTAATAAAATCAAAATATTTATAATATTAATAGATACCGAAATTTTCAATTTTAACATTATGCATTTATTTTATGGCTTTATGTAGTGACCAACATAGATTATAAAATAAATGATGGCCGGTAAGTTTGTTATCAGTAACCAAACAATTATAGAAAAAAAACAGCGTGTCCGACATAATATAACACACATTCAGTGATAATATAATAGTGAAATTACCGGTAAAGGCATGGAATATGGCATAGAATAAAGATTAATATGAAGAATATGAAGAAGTATCGGTAAAGGATAACACGGTTCACCCGATCAAATATTTAGCGTATTTCTAAGGTTTTGTTAAATATTGGATTACAAGATTGATAACAATTTGTTATCGATCGTATATCATGATTATGAAATATAATTTACACATTTTATACAAAGACATTGTCATCTGTAGTGCAATTGTAATTATTATTTATTAAATTAAATTAAATTAGTTTTCAATGATACCGAAGAGTTTAAAAGTATGTAATGCTAGACTGAACACTGAACAGATCGAAAAAGGTACCACTAAAAACTGGTGGTCACGAATTTATGGCGGGATCAGGAATTATTTACATTTATGAATTTGAGTTTTTGGATTCCATAATGGATATAATAATTTATTTTGGTAGAATAAATTATTATATTATATAAAGCGTACGATGAACACGTGTTCAAAATTACGAGGAAATGTCGTTAATTGCATACACACCCATCATAGTTATATTATTACTCTATATGAGTAAAACCAATAGATCCCTCGTTACGCTCCGAATTTAATATTTACGAAATACCATATAATACCCACATACTACACAGCAAGTTATTGCTATAAAATACAAAACTAAACCATGAGAACTAATGATTTATACAAAACCATTATAATATATTATTTACATTATTCCTCATTTTGGAATAGTAGCAAAAATAAAATAAAATCTGAATAAAATTTCTAAACAAATGTTAAGTTACACAATTTAATAAAGAAAAATCCTATAGATTGTAAAATATTATAATGTCCTCTTAAAATTGTACTATACTAAATTGCATTATACTTCATTAATTATTGAAAAATTGTCTACAAATTTACCATAAGCATTATTACTCAATGCTTTGAATATTGTTTCTGATGTGTCCTGCATTGATCATCTACGGTTTATTCTTTTAATAGAATTTTTCATTTTGTCTACTAATAATCTTCGTTTTTTATGATATTTTTCTTCAATAAATTGCATCAACAACAAAAACAACAAACCATTAAGTTTTTTAAATGTTTTTAAATTTTATTAAGAATTATTCATTAGATATAAATGTGTAATACATTTAAATTTTTTGAATAATATTTTTTACAAAATGATTATTTTGAAAATTTTCTGAAGTGAATAAATAAAGTAACTTTTTTTTTTATGTTTAGGAAATTAAAATTTTCTCCAAATCGATGTCCCCCTCGAAGACAAACCAATTGAAAAAAAATAAAATCGAAAACATTATTATATTAACAGCACTAGAAAAATCCGTTGTCCATGGTGAGACACACTGTATAATGAATATTATATCCACGGATGTATACTATATAGTAGATGCCTTATTCCGTTGCCTATACTTGAAGCCAACAGTCGTAATGTTGATTGGGCAATGTTTGCATGTCGATGTTATCAATCTTAGTGATAACCAACAAAATTATAATAATTTAAAATATATATATTACCTATGTTAAAATTGCATATAATTTTAATTGAATGTAGATCGTAGTGTATTTAAAACTATATTTATGATGATTTGTGATAACTTAATCATGTTATCATTGTAATATTGATAATAGATTATAAACATTGCTCGACTTACTTGACTTCAAAGACACAGATGTATGATGAATCAACTTTAAAATTGAGAGGTTGATTTAAAGCATTCCGACGTTCTTGATTTTTTGGGAAATATGATATGATACATCTTTAGCTTTTTGTTTTGCAGCTTTCAAATTATTCTTACAACCAGTTACTACACACCAAGGCATAATATCGTTATTTTGTACCAAACAAACAATTGACTGAAACAAAGAATTATAATAAGAATAATATTGCAAGTAAAACATATTTATTCGTTATACAAGACATTTAATATTGTATTTTAGACTGAGTGGAGCAAAGAAGCTTATGGTTTTACAAAGGTGTTTATTAATATTTCTATTATTATTTTTTATTTGTTAACAACTTTTCTAACAGAAGACTTGCTCAGATTTCTAAGTGTAGTACTTTTTCTGAAGTATAATCGATGTGAATTCTCGTAAAATTTGTACGAAACGTACGAAATATATTACTAAAATATTACTAACTTTTCAACCAGCAATTGTGCTCCAACTTTTAATGATAGCAATGTTTTTAAAAGGAAATTTTACTACAGTGATACTTTAAATAGGTAATTTTTTGATTTTCTCAAGTTTTCCCAGAAAATGTGAAAAACCGTGATAAAAAATAGGAAACCCCGGGAAAACGTAGGAAAACTGTGAAAGCAGTACAACAGTAAACAAATATTATTAAAGAAAATATATAAAGCTTATTTAATTATTTTACTATAAAATGACATATATAATGTTGAAATTGCATCATTATCAATTGGTGGTTTATCATTGCTTACAGGTATACATTAAATTATATATAGCAGTAGCTGCACCCGTCTCCATTATCCTAGGACGTCTTTTTTTTCCTATTATTGAGCAACAAACTATTTATTTCAACATTATTTTTGTTACACATTTTCAGGAAATTAATCAGTTTAAATTTACAATAAATTTATTTATGTTATTAAAATGCATTCATTAGGTAAAAATTAAAATACGTACTGAATTAAGTAATTATGTATTTATTTACTAATATTTTAACATTTTTTTCAATTTTAAAGATATATATAATGATTATTGGACTCTTTTAGATAGGTTTTTCCTCAATGATAAATGAGTATCTATTTGTTGTATCTAAAATCATTTTTAAGATTGGTATATACCGATATGTAGCTATCGTGGGGTAATATCATTTCATCATGGAAAAACAAAACTTAAACATTCTATTGGCCATTATACAACTTACGCATTACGTGGTACAAATACACTGGTAGTTGTATGATGATCTCAAGACAAAACCTGTACCAATTAAGGACATAAAGATGGTGCCATGTGAATTTTTATTAAGTACAATTTAAAAATAATTTTTATTGACTTTAACTTCATATATTATATTTTCAACTAAAGTAAAGTAATTAACTAAAGTAATCATTATGAAAGTAATTTAGTCCAATGTTCACGAATAATATAATTTCAAACAAAAATATGAGCTATTATGAAAAATAATAATTTACTATAATCAGTGGCATAATTAGAACTTCAATTGCCCATGGCAAAATGATTCAGTGGGCCATTGGTCTTACATATTTGGGATATGAAGAGCATGAAACCACTTTCAGAATATTTATCTAAATCCACCTCTGCTAATAGGTAATTAATAATTAAATCATATTTATTATACAATTATGAATAAGGTCACTTTTTATTGCACATTATGATATGTATCTCATTAGTTTAAATAATATAAATGAGTCAATAACGAAATTTTTAAAATATTTAATTTATATTTAAAGTCATAAATAGTCAGATTTATAAAAATTTCTTCTTTCTTGATTTTACTTCAGCAAACTTATTAATTAAATCCTTAAAGTTAATGTATTAACAATTATTGTAGTAACACAACTGATTGTAGTGAAGATATCTTATGACTTTATAATAAATAAATACGTAATTAAAGGGCTGGTTTTTGGGGCTTAAAATATTTTTTTGAACTCGACGACCTCTATTCTATACGTGTTAGTATTACGTGTTACATTTTAGTTCGAAATTTTAATAATTGAGCACTGTAAAAGCGTTTATGTAATTGTGTGTAAATGCCTTTTTTACATATCTACGTTATATTTATAAATTGTATTGTTTTATTTTTCAATGATTTAAACATAATACTATGGTAGATAACCTTGTTATTTTTCGTTGTAGATTAAAAGGTTTGGTAAACACCGTTTCTAAATTATTATCAGTAGATTTGTGTTTTCGTTGCAATGTTTTACATTTCGTGAAGATTAAGTATTAATTATTTTTGTATTTTTGTTATTAAATGATAGTTAATTATTTATTTTTTACTTATTATTATGTCCATATTATTCAAGTTGAGAATACATTAATAAAATTCAAGTTCTTTAATCATTATAATTGAAATAGAACAGGTAATTACTGTTTGATGCAAGAAGGACATTTTTATAACCAAATATCTCTTTTATTTAAATCTATCTGAACCAGTGAACTTCCTATCACCTGACAGTCAATGCATGTAGTGATACCTTTAAGTTAAACTTAATTTATAATATTAATTAACGTAATAAAATGAATACAAAAAATGTATTAAGTTTAATGGTTCATTAGACAATATATATAAAGAAAATAATAATTTAATAAAACTACAAAAATCAAGTATTTCAACGGCGGGTCGACAAGACATTTCCTTTAATGAAGCTATGTATTTTGCTTTTTAGGTTATACTTAGTTTGCCGACATGTGAATATGTCACGTACAATTGACCACAAGAAAAACATGCATTATCTTAACTCAGACCACAAACACTCAATGATTGTTCTTCTTGTAATTTGTTAATTGTCATGATGAATGCAAGACAAATCGGAAATTGAAATCGTTTAAACTCAAAGGGCATATCGGTTGGGATCATCGGAATCTTCGAAATGATAACTTCCTCACTTTTGAATTTTCCTTTGTGTATCGTCACGTGAATCACATTGATCATCAGTTTTCTTATCACCAAACGTGTACCATTGCATAGTTTTAGTTGGTTTATATTTCGAAGCATGATGACTACCGAGACCACTTTTAGTTTTAAATTGTGTGGTGGTAAGCCAGGCACATCTGATGCGTTTAAAAATCTAGTTGGATAGTTGGTAGCTTTGTTTTCGTTTGTTACACAATCAATAGATTTGAATGAATGCAGAGTGTTAACGATTTGATTTTAAATTACAAAGTTTAAGTCATCTACATATTTATTCTTAGCAACTAAAATTGCTCGTTCACTCAACCATTCGTTATTTTTGTAGTTAGCACTTAGCAATGATGTTCGGGAATACTTTGTTGATGAGATTGTCTTTTGATTACATAAAATTGCGAAAATTCGGAGGAAATAAAATCAATCAGCTCGATCCATCTATCGTCGTTATAAATCTGCTTTATGATGTCTTCATTCATTTAAAAAAAAAACTGCATGATGATTGAATAAATAGTTTCAGAGAATATGCGTAACAAAGATTTCCATTTTTGCTTTAATAATATTTTTCTAGATTCGTATTTTGCTGTGCCCTACGGAAATAGTGTAAATAATAGTAATAATAGTAATTAGAATAGTTTTCTTTTCCATGGCAACCCCTGAATAAACAAAAATAAATAAATAGGCAATAAAATATTCGTATCAAATATACCTAAAAACCCAAATAATTTTTTTTACCTGAATCTTTCCAATATTTTAATAGTTATTCTGCTATTCGGGGTGGATATGAATCCAATAAATTAGAGATCATCAAAATTAGTCCAGCAGTTTTTGAGTTTTAAATGGTGTAAATAACCCGACTTTGTTATATATATATAAACTTAGTGGACACAAAGAAAAACAAAACAAAGATATAATTATTTTTTTTTAAGATTCGATCTTTCATATGACACAAATGTTATAACCATGTGAACAAATTCAAAAATGTTTTCATATTTGTAACTATAACTTCGTTGATCTCAAAACCCGTTTATCTAGAAAATGCCCTTTTTCGCACCCAGCCCCTCAATTACATAATAAATTGCGAACCAATATACAAATTGAAATAACTTATTAAGGGTCTATACATAAGGGGGCTATTATTTAGAGTGTTTTACATAAATATAATTTCACCTATGTTGCGAATGTTTTGCCTATATGAATTGTTGTGCTCGTACGTCAATTACTTGAAGAATGTTATTAGTATCAATACGAACGCTGTATAATATAGGTTCACAATTATATTTTTAATATGAATCACTTATCCTTTAAGCAGGCGCGAGTACACATGTTGACGAAAATTATAGTTTTATTGTCATAATTACTTATCTACGTGGTCTAATGAATATTCGAGTTTTTTCTATTTCACAATAATATTTATGTTATTAATACTTAATAATTGTTATTTTTGCTAATGTGTTTTTCAATTTATTTTATTATTATAATAACATAATACGTTTATTATAATATAATAAAATATATAGATACCTAATATCTATACATCAAACTCGTAGGACATTATACAGTTTTTAATATATATTGTAGTATAAAAGTTCGATATCTCGGGAACGGCTAAAGCACAAACACAACCGAATGGCTAATTTAGAATTTCAAAACTTTGAGGTGGGGGTGCCGAGGGCATGCAGCTAACCAAACCGGTTTTGATCGACAGTAGATGATTATCCATTTGCTTCGTACCACTGCCTTCTCTGTCTAATTTTGAAAATAATTATTTTATGGACATTAATATTGGTCACCCTATCTATTTATGGTACTAATTTTATATTTCCATTTTGTCCATTGACTTGGATTATCTATACATAGGCGTAAAATTGCAGGTATGATTTTTGTTTAATCGTTTTAGTTTTATATTATTTATTTATGTTATCATAAAACAAACTTAGTACATTAGGTTTACGTATAGAGTTAAATATAGTTTTTAACTGTCTAGAATCATTATACGTTTACTTTTCTCACCCTTCCAATAATGTAAAGTGTAATGAAATACAAGAAGAACTAGGTATTAAGAAAACATTATTGATCAGACTTGGTAACAATCGTTGGAGTTGTGTTAAAAATTGTACAGCTGTTAAATCAAATTTTAAAGCTTTTATTCCAATATTGAATAATGTAATTGATATTTGTGGTAATAAAGATGTTTTACAAGCAATAGGTGAGAAAAATAATATATTTTTTTAATTTTTAAACCTAGTTTATGTGCACACTTTCTTACAAATATTATATTTTTCAGGTATTTTACCTATTATCAAGAAGTCTTCATTTTTTATTCATCCAATAATACTAGAAGACGTGTTATAGATTGTTAGTGTTTTAAATACTAAGCTTCAAAATAATGGTGCAACACAAGGAAGTGCTGTTAATTTAATTGAAAGAACAATAAAGACTTTTGAGTCATTACGAGCGGAAAATGAATTTCAGAATATCTGGAATAAAATCATTGATTTTGCTGAGTCTAATAATTTAGATCTTTTCATAACTGGTAAATATTTCATGTGATATATTAAACCTAGGGGTAAATACCCGACAAAAATTGCATACACCAGATTACTGATTTCAATGATTATCTTTGGTTTCTAAAGATTCCATGAATACCTATGATTACTAGCTCTTTGTACATTGATTACCCCTAGGTGTTTACCTCTCATATTAAACATACACATGACTGTTTTATATATATTTTTATTTAATTTAAAGGTCATTGTGCAAAACGCCAAAAAAGCAGCCAAAAAACTTAAATGATTTTTATGTTTTTTACAACCATGGATTCTGAGCCACAAAATGTAAATTAATCAAATCAAATTACAGATATTTATTGAAAGAGTTTCACTGATTATTATCAAGTTATAGACTATATTGTTAGTAACATAAAAAAAAGATTTTCACCCGAAAGTTTACAAACGGTGTCATCAATTGATAGTTTTCATAAACTGAATTATATGAAAGTAAATATTTCATCGAACATTATAAAGTAAATATTTTATTGTTTAAGATTGAATTTATATTTGTTATATTTAGATAAATGTATCTATTGTTTTATTTTTAGGATCTTGTAAATGGGATGTAGATGACCTCGTTCAGAAATATTGGTTACAAAAAACTGTCTTACACGTGCAAAATTGAATTTTGATTTAGAGGAACTAAAATTAGTAGTAGATTTAAAAATATATCCAAATTTATTTACTATTTTATCTTTGTCTCTCACTATACCAATTTCTTCTAATACATGTGAAAGGTCTTTTTCAGCTATAAGAAAGATAAAAAATTGGTTATGTCTATGCATCAAAATAGATTTTCTAATGCTTCTGTTGTTTATATAAAAAAGGACATTTCTTATAGTCTAAAAAATGAAGATATACTAAATAAATTTGTCATATCTAATCGCCGTTTATAGTTATAACATTTAATTGTATGCATACTATATTTTTTATAATTAGAAATAAATAATTCATTTGCATTGATAAAAGTTGAGTTGTATATTGTATTTTATTTATCAATTATTTTGTTTTTACTGTTGAGGATCAAACTAAATGTTTATATATTATATTATAACCATAAAAGTGATTACAAGTGGTGAGAGGGTGCCGACACGAAGCACCTGCGGGTTTGTTGATTTTATAAATTAAGCCACCCCAAAACAATTGTCCAAATTGCGCCTATGTATATTTAACATAATAAACATATTTAACAGGGGCTGGAATCCTGTCGACGTGTGAACCGTGCTGTTGTATACAAACATTGTATAAGAAACATATTGATCCAAATCCTTACTGTTCTCCTTAACAAAGTGCCTCAGATATTCTAACAGAGTTCGATGGGTCCTTTTAGGCTCCGTTGGACTGCGAATGATACGCAGTCATTTTAATTTTTTCTATTTGAAGAAGTGTATAGCATGTTGTGAATACTTTGCTTAAAAAATCTTGTCCTTGGTCCATGACTATTGACTCCGGTATTCCATGTTGACAGACAAAATTTTCAACAAATACTTTCGCTTTTGAGTTAGCTGTATGATTTACAAATGGAATGGCTGCAGACAATTTTGTTAAATCGTCCTACATTGTGAGAATGTATGAATTTTCTTCAGACGAAGTTTCAAGTGGTCCAACAATGCCAAGAAAGATTTTCTCGAAAGGTTTAGTAGCAGTAGATGTAACTACCATGGGTTGTTGGGTTATTATTTTCAATTTGCGAATCGGACGAACGCCCTTTTTGACTGATTATTTGGCGTTTCCCGACGTTGATGGATTATCTTGAATTTCTTTTCTTGAATCTGCATTTTTCTTTTTATAGGATACTTTTATTGTATGACCAAATTTCTTGCAATAAATACATGATACTTGTTTAATATCCTGATTCCTTTGATTATTGAATCCTTTGGATTGTTTATTTTGCTGTCCAGTATCAACATTGTGATTTCCATATCTGCACTTATTTGTATTATGGTTTCATTTCCGGCAATTTTTACAATATTTACTGTTATACCTATTATTTGGTTTGTTATTTAACAAACGTTGGGTTCTCTAATTTGATTGAGAATTTTTTTCTTTTTCTAAGCTATCCTTTTAGCTATCCTTTTAAGCTTCTTCTAACGTTGGGTGATTCTTTAATTTCACTACACCTCGAATAGAAGATGGTAAACCTTCAATATACGTAGTTAAGGTTGTTTTTTTTTATGTAGCTATGTATAGCTTTTGCGTCACTGGATTATTCATCCTTTGTGCTTATATTGTAGAGTTTGTGAAATAGTTTTTTACCTTTGTTGCATACTCTCGTACGGTTTCTCCTTGTTGGAATTTAGTCATAGTGAGCTCTAACTGAAGATATCCTGGTGTGCATGTAGCACAGAATTTGCCTTCTAAATTTTCCCTAAGTATTTTCCATGTGGAAATTTCCTTATGTTGAGTTATTGCGAAAGCTTTGCTCGCTAATTTGGTTATTATAACCTGTAATAGCACAGGCTGTATGGTCTCTTCAACATTTTGCATGACAAAATTGCATGCATTTATAAATGGGTATACCTCCTGAACATTTCCCCCATTGAAACGTGGAATTTATTTAATTGCTGTCTCTAAGGATAATGTAGTTGAAGAAGGGAGTGCCATTGTGCTATTATATTCTAAAATTTTAGTATTATCTTTTATTCTAATAATATTTTTGAATTAAAACTTTTCGATTGCTTACGATCTTTTATTAAGGTTTGTTTTTGAAGATTACTCCGTGATCTAGTAACAGGTCTAAACGATCCTAATAGATTTTTATTAATCGGTCGCAATGGGACGTAGTTTTCATCTAAATCAGAATTCTCGGAACTACTATAACTACCACTAGACCGACCTGACATGCATTAAATTTCATACGCAATGAAAAATAATAAAATAATAATAAATTAATTGGATAATAGTATCGTAGTATCACCACCCAAAATAGTTAATACCGCTACTAATATCAAAATAATAGTTTACATCAATACTTATATGTATATAATGGTTCTTATGACAATATACCTACGACGAACGAAGTAGTTTTCATATTTGCAAAGAGAAATAAAAATTACCTCAAATAGATATATATTATGTAACGTGCAAAATTGAATAATAACTCAATAATAACACCAAAATCGTCTACGCAGTTATGTCACTTTATCACATAAGGCAAAGGTCCGCGTACGTTGTCGCGGTGGTTTTTCAAACACACCACCACCCGACCGTCACTCTGCGAGCGTATATCGATATGTAAAGGGGGGTATCGGCCAATCAGATGATAACAGTTCAATTTCGCGACCGATGGACCGCATAACGGCCATCGGATCGTTTTTTTTTTGGTGGTTGCTCCAACACCGTTCACGGATACGGACCTTTTTATTTTTGCTCCGTTTCCGACTCAAAATGAGAGGCTAAAAGTCCATACAAGTCCCCGGCACGGTCGTCCCCGACCGCCGGTCAGGTATGCATATCCCTTTTTGTTTTTTTTTAATATTGGCCGATACTACCCTATTATTATTATTATTATTTTTTATTATGATTTATTTATTTTTATTTGTATTTATATTTCGCGTTCCCCCATGTATTTGTTCCCGTTAGATTCTTTATTTTAAATTTCCTATACGTGTCTAAATGTGCTGCGCGCAAGTACCCTTCTATGTCATTCTAATTTATGACAGTTAATTAAGTGTTTTTTTATATATAATACGTTCGGTACTGGTTGTTAACTTTCCCCCCCTCGACAGGTTGTCTTTTAGGCCAACAACACGGACACAAATATGGAAATTGTCGACCATCGACGTCCCCGTGCGATAGTAATTCCGCGCCGTGGCAATGCGCGATCCTGTACGAGTCTCCCTGTTAAAATTATTGAATGGTGAGTTTCCACACCAGTCCGTTCTCACGCTAGTACCGAAATCTCTTCATTAATAAACGTATGTATATATATATATATAGAAACCTATGTGTTTAATTCGCGCATAAACTGAATTGCATGAATAGCTCATCATAATTAACGTCGCGATGTTCATTTCCGCGATGTTTATGAACATATATTTATAAGCACTATAACACGTTCCCAATCCTATTCCTGTTGTTGTATATATTATATTTTTGTGTATTGAGTTATTTTATGAAGTTGTGTTATAGCATTAATTGTAGTGTTTACGGTATTCGGATACTATGTTGAAACGGACGGCTTAAATTGTACGTCCCCATATATATATATATTTTTTTTCCCCTTTTCTCTCTATGTGAAGTTTTTATGCCGGACGGCTTTTCTTCACGATTAACATAAATTTTTTGATTAATAAAATAATAAATCTCATTTATTTTCCCCGCAAAAACTTGGTGTTCTTTTCAATCTCTTAATCCCCCATATTATTTCACCTATGTTTCCTTTTCAGGATGTTCTATAATATGTTTCACTACATTTAACTTGTTAGTACTTAATTAAATCCTGTAACNCGCCCGGGTCGCATAACGCTCGTGGCGAACTCCGTCTTTACGGCTGCCAGTTCTTGTTTAAAGTATTACTATCTTAATATTTTTTTTTGTCAAGACGACGCGAGACGTTACAATTAGATATATTAGTTATCTTTCTGCAGAAGTTTCTTCTCCAAAATTATGACCGCGACACCGCTGCCACTAGTTGTTGTGCCTATACGAATTGTTGTGCACGTAAGGGTTGTTTTATTTATTCGGTAGTGTGAGGATTCAATTTTAGGAGAAAGTACAACAAAACAGTTCTAAGGATTTTTGGATACTAATATAATTTTAATGTGAGTTGAACTATATAATTAACGAGTTATATATTATAATAGTCGTTGAGACGACATAGAGTTTTAAAAGTGGTAGTTCAACTGACTGCGAGGCTTTCTCGCGGGTACCGTATGGCTACAATATTCTCGGAGCCGCCTACACACTAGGCGTTATCGATAGACTACAATAATATACTCTTATGCTCTAATACAAAGTGCTAATACTACTATACTATATACTATAGTAATATGCTCATAACACGAACATTAAAATAGCTGTTCTAGAATAATGAGAACGGGTGCAGCCACTGTTGTTGATGAAAAATTAAGAAGGTAAAATATAAAGAGGAAAGTAATTTGTATTTGTAAGCAACGATAAACCATTGATTACTAAAAATACTATTCTGAGCGAAGTTCAGTAACAATATATATGTCATATTAATATATTATGGTCAAATAATTGAATAGGCAGTAAATCTTTTCTTTAGTGATATTTGGTTAATATAATACCGATTTTCCCTCTTGGTTTACGTTTATCCCGGTTTTACCATGTTTTTTTCCAGTTTTCACATTTGCTGGGAAAATCTAAAAACACCTTCCCATTCAGATTTCCTTTCAGAGAAAATGCTATCATTGTAAATCGGAGCAAAATTGCTGGTAGAAAAGTTGTTCACAGGAAAAAAAAGTCTGAAATATTTTTCAACTAATATCTACATTTTGTACATTTTTCCGTTTTTTCCCGGTTTTTCATATTTAATGAGAAAACTTCTAATAAAATCGAATTATGACCTCCCTAAAGTACCATTCCAAGAAAGTTTCCTTTCAGAAAAAATATTATATCGTATACATCGAGTAAGCTTTCTGGTAAAAAAAATGTTCACATAACAAAAAATAATTACAATAATAAACTACTTTGTTAAACCAATATATTCTTTCCTCTACTCAGAATCTAAAATCAAGTTTACATAAATTTTTTTATTTTGTTTTTTAGATTCTGAACGTAGCGAAGGTAATGTTGATTGTACAATGTTGTGTATTCCTTTGTTCTTGTTCTAGTCTGTGGACACGTGTTTTTCCAGTAAACTTGCTTCGATTTTGACATCTACTAACTTTTTTGAAAGCTCAAGTTATCTTGATTGTACTTTAAAGAGATCATTTTTTTGACGCTATTTTTTAAATAAAAACAATTAAGTGGGAAAAAACGTAGGAAAACGTACAATTTCACAATTTCATTATTTTATAAAAACACGGACGTTTTCTACTAGAATGAATAATTTAGTCGGAAAATCACAAGACACCTTTTTTGTTGCCTTTTTAATTTACTTTCTTGCAGTATCATAGCCAAAACTTTTGAGTAACTTTAGAACTTTTAAGGAATTTAAATTTGTTTGGGTTATTTTGCTGTAATTCTGTTATAAATACACAGAGACTTGAAACTTGGTAATAATACTTATATTGGACTTACCTAGACGTGGTAAAATTTTGAAAATCATCGGACGACTTTTTTATTTTTAATAAACGCTTTGAAATCAAATTTAAACGAATATCGCAAAAAAATTACAGCACTTCAAATTATTTATTACCGAACTACGCTTTCGTCACACAACGGTTTATCGTTGCCTACAGATATAAATGAAATAACCATACGTATCCTACCTTTCCAACTTCTTACCTATAATAGTGGCTGCTCCCGTCCTTAGTATTAGCTCTTTTTTTATTTTACAATTAATAAATAATTAATATAAAACCAACTTTTAATTTCACAAGTAATTTTTAAAAAACTATTCATTGGTTATTAAATAGTGTACTTCGATTTAATGTTTTACAATGCACATATATATATATTTAAACACTCAACCAGAGTTTACAATATTTACAAATTAATAAATTGTGTAAAATAAGAAAAACTAATTTAAAACACCCTAACTGCATTTTTGTCTGCATAAAGTTACGGATAATGAAAGTAAGAAAAATGTCTTCTAATTTTATTGAAGGATCATGTTTTATATTCAGGTAAATAATAAAATAAAAATTATGTTATGATCATCAAATTTCTGTTTGAAATACTGTGCATCGTTGCGAACAGTTGCAAATTAGGCGGAAAATGTTAGTACTAGTTAAAATTTGGTATATACATATGAGGGCAGAGGCTTTCTTTCACCGGGAAATTATCCGAGAAGTATTGAGTTAGAAATTATGAAATGATTGTTGAAAATTAGTTGCAAATTGTTGGCGCATGTTTGGTATTATTATAATAATGGACAAACTTCACACACATATTTGTACTGTTGTTGTTGTCTAACTTTAACCTGTAAAAGATGACCAAGATTACCAAGGTAACCAAGATTTTCCTATATAGTTTTATGTTTATAATATATTTTTACAAAGAGTATATTTCTAGGGCAAAAATTATAAAATATAATGGACGTGTGGACCATCGATCGACAACCATTCGACCTATGAAACAATCGACTGATAATTAAAATACCGAACAATCAATTTAAGATTAAACTATGATATAACTATACTAAAATTATTATACATGTCTAATATGAACCTACAATCTGTATAGATTGTTTTGCAATCACTAACTTACTTTAATCTAATAATATTTTGTAAGTAATCAACAATTTTGTAAAAATTATGCTTTGGGGAAAAACCGATTGTTTATTAGTTTTTATAATGTGTATTTAATCGTTGATATCCATTTATTTTAGGTAAGGTTAGGTACCTGCTATACTATGCATCGGTATTGCCCATTACAAATCGATATTGCCCGGATAACAGGGCAAGAATAATAACATATTAAAAAAAGTTAATGGCTTGTTAAAAAATAAATTTGAACGATATATACTGTATTGTAATTAAATATTGTAAACAAAAATTAACTTAAAACAACTGTACAAAGAGATTAACTATAATTTTAAGATTTTGAATAATTATGAAGATATTCATTTGTCTAGTTGGTTTTACCCCGTGTTCCTCTACATAGAGAAAAAAAATTATACAAATTGGTCGTTTTACAAAGAATATCAAAATAATTTATTTTAATAAGAGAGATTATTTAAAATTAGTTATTATTAGACATAGATATTTTAAGAAATATAAATTATTTAGTTATTATTATTATTTATTATCTAAACTCTATTGGTATAAGATATTATTTTTAAAATCGGTTTGAACATATAAAATATTATTAAAATTATTTTTCTTTATTTCATTGTGTACGTGTAATTCGTTTGAAACTGAATTAATGTAAATGTTATTTTGGGTATTTAAAATTTCTATG